TCCAGGTCAAGGCACATACCTAGGTTGCAAGTTTGATGCCCAGACTGGGAGTGTATGGGAATCAACCACTCAATGTTTCTCTCTACCCGAACCCCACCTCCTCAAAGCAAAGGAAAAATGTCCTCGAGAGAGGTTTTAAAAAAACAAAACAGAAAAGAATAAACCTGATAACTAGAATTGTAAACCTGTTAACAATCAACAACTGACCAAAAATATTACTCACACCATTATTTGTATGGTGTTTGGCTTTAATATAGTACTGTCACACAGTAACTACGTTGGTGCTCCTGTGAGAGACACAGTAACACTGGCCTTATTTTGCCTATGAGGACACGGGCTGAGGAGTGACTTCCTGAGGTTAGACTGTGGGTGGTAAACTAGTCCTGATTCAAACTTTCTGGCTTCATATCTCATGCCAATTCTAGGACAACACTCTGCTTCTGGTAAATTGCTTAAAACCTTTGGGTATAAATACAATCCTGGAATTTACTACAGGGCAAGACAAAAGCATGCTATGACAGTGCACTGGTTCACATGGAGGAAAAGCAGATACACATGCTATACTTGGCAGCACAGGTCTTTCATTCAGGTAGAAAGTCCAGCAATGAAGATGATTGATTTCAAGCTGACTGCCCCCTACTCTGCTCAGCAAGTTTTTTATTTTATTTTTTGTTTTTGTCATTAACCCAGGGTAATTCCCTACCACACAGAGGAGTGAGACGAGACAAGATCACTGTAAACACTTAGCTCTGCTCCTGGCATCAGTTACTATGGGTCAATAGTGCCAGGTCCTGAGCACTGGGCAGGTTTCCTGGTGTGTACCATGGTGGTAAGAGGATTCAGGGCTTGCAGCCAAGTATGGGATGGATGGCCTTGTGCGAATCAGGTCTCCTCACCTGCGTTTTAGCATCCTCACCAGAAACACTACCACCTTCATGGCAGGGTTGTTTTAAAGAATTAACATAAAGTATACAAAGAATACTATGTACTATGGTACTAGCAAATAGCAGACAATGGTGGCTCTTATTTCTTTATGTCAGCGATGCTGAGAAACTTCCAAGTTGACTTGTTTTAACTAAAGCATTTCCTTTGCTTTAAAAAAACTTTTAATCCTCATGTCAGGACATTTTTTATTGCTTTACAGAGAGAAGGGAGAAAGGGAGATAAACATCAATACGAGACAGAAGCACTGATTGGCTCTTACAGGCCCAGGATCACATGCCCAGACTCGGACTGGGGCTGGGGTATCAACCTGCAACCTAGGTATGTGCCCTGACTGGTTATCAAACCTGCAACCTTTTGGTTATTGGATGACACTCCAAGCGTCACACCAGCCAGAACTAAAAGCATTTTCTTTAAATAGAAAAACTCTGGTTTAACAAAGCATTGAATGGTACAAATCAAGATTGAACCTGTTGCCCTGGCTGCTATGGCTCAGTTGGTTAGAGCATCCTCCCCATACATGGAAAGGTCATAGGTTCGATTTAGGGCAGGTCACACACCTAGGTTGCTGGTTTGGTTTGATCAGGCTGGGGCACTGAAGAGGCGCTACTGATTGATGTCTCTCCCTCTCTTCCCCCTCTCTAAAACAATAAGCATATTCTCAGGTGAGTATAAAAAAAACTTAACCTGTTACTGTTTGCAGCGACTTCTTTTTAAAGTAGGGATTTTAAATGAGAAATTATCAATCCTACCTTTATGAACAAAATCAGATAATACAAAGTTTTGAGGCAAGAGAAGTGACCTAAGGTGTCCCCCCCCAATCAGTGAAAACTATGTATCTGTTGTCATCTTTTTTGCGGGGAGAGGACATAGCACATGAAGTCTGTGAGGAAAACTGAATAGTTAAAATAAGCATTCTAACACAAAGCCCCTCATAAAAACCTCAAAGGCTATCTTGATTCACAACACACCTTTCTACCTTTCTAGGCCCTCTACACATGTAGCATGAGGGTGATGAGGTGTAAGTGCAAGCAGTAATTAACCAGCAATTTCTCCAGATTAAACAGACCCAAAAGTCTCCCCCCCAAACCATCTACCACCACCTGGACCCCAAAATTAAACAGGAATGGATTACAAGCTAAAGCCTAGAGGGAGACAGACAATATCCTAAAATCTTGTTCTATACATGCCAGTGATTACAAAGATTCATCAATTACTTCAGCTGGAACAATGGAGAAAAGCTCCATCTCCTGCAAAAGCACATTGTGTCTTTAAAAATGCATAGACAAAAAGTTAACAATTTTGCCTAATGAAAAGGTTTAATATCTTAATACATTTCACCTGAAACACTGTGTGATACAAAAGGTTATTTTAAGTAAGTACCTAGTCTTTCTAAAATAATATACTACTACTAATAAAATGGCTTTTACCTTAATAAATACTTTATTACTTCATAATTTGTAACCACTGATAGTCTTGGTTACTGAGACGACTATACCGCAATGTCCAAGTCACTGGAAGATGTGTCTCTGCGCGGCCCATGGGTCCTGCTCTTGTAGTCAGTATTCCTTCTCAGTACCCAGAGTGCACCCTCCTCTGCACCTGTTGCGCCAGGAATGCCAGCCATGGCTACTTGATACATGCTAGTTAATTGAATGAACCAAATTTCCTTAGCCCAGTTTAAAATAAAGTATTCCATTCTAACAGAAACATTTAGACCCTACCTGAACTTTAATAACTTGATTATTAAATATAAGGAACTGAAAGTGGTGGTTGTCAAAGGTAAGGGTGCAGGTGGGCAAAAGGGCAAAGGTCATAAGGTAGGTACAAACTTCCAGTTATAAGTCATGAGGACATAATGTACAGCATAGTGACTATAGTTAGTAATAATGTATTGCATATTTTATAGTTGCTAAGAGTGTATCTTTAAAGTCTTCATCACAAAATTTAAAAAAATTTTTTGTAACTTAATATGACGAATGTTAACTAGGCCTGAGATCATTTCAAAATGTATACAATTATGTTGTACACCTGAAATAAAATGTTATATGCCAGTTATACTTCAGCTAAAAAAAAAATAAGCAAGTATCCTACATTAGATAGCTTATAACTAATCTATTTTCAAAAATAGCTTTTTTTTTTTCCCCCCCCAAGAAACACCAAATGGCGGATGACGCCGGTGCTGCGGGGGGGCCGGGAGGCCCCGGAGGCCCTGGAGGCCCCGGGGGCCCTGGAATGGGAGGCCGCGGTGGCTTCCGAGGAGGATTTGGTAGCGGCATCCGGGGCCGAGGTCGCAGCCGGGGTCGAGGTCGAGGCCATGGAGCTCGTGGAGGCAAGGCCGAGGATAAGGAGTGGATCCCCGTCACCAAGTTGGGCCGCTTGGTCAAGGACATGAAAATCAAGTCCTTGGAGGAGATTTATCTTTTTTCTCTGCCTATCAAGGAATCTGAGATCATTGATTTTTTCTTGGGAGCATCCCTCAAGGATGACGTTTTGAAGATTATGCCCGTGCAAAAGCAGACACGTGCAGGCCAGAGGACCCGATTCAAGGCATTTGTCGCCATTGGAGACTACAATGGACACGTTGTCTGGGTGTTAAGTGCTCAAAGGAAGTAGCCACTGCCATCCGTGGGGCCATCATCCTGGCCAAGCTCTCCATTGTCCCTGTGCGGCGAGGCTACTGGGGGAACAAGATCGGCAAACCCCACACTCCCTTGTAAGGTGACCGGGCGCTGCGGCTCTGTGCTGGTGCGCCTAATCCCTGCACCCAGGGGCACTGGCATTGTCTCTGCCCCTGTGCCCAAAAAGCTGCTGATGATGGCTGGTATCGATGACTGCTACACCTCAGCCAGGGGCTGCACTGCTACTCTGGGCAACTTTGCCAAGGCCACCTTTGATGCCATCTCTAAGACCTACAGCTATCTCAACCCTGACCTCTGGAAAGAGACTGTGTTCACCAAGTCTCCCTACCAGGAATTCACCGACCATCTGGTGAAGACCCACACCAGAGTTTCTGTGCAGAGGACCCAAGCTCCAGCTGTGGCCACCACATAATTTTTGTACAAGGAAAATAAAGTGAATTAAGTCTGTTAAAAAAAAAAAAAATTCTATCTTGTTTTCAGCACTCCCCTAGGGTTACCTGGATCTTCCTATAGTATTTAATCATGATTTAAAGCCTAAATCTTGATGTACCATGTACTTATCTGTGATTGTATTTTCCATGTCCAAAGGAATTAAAAGTGATTTAAAATACTGCCAAATCCAACAACATCTTCCTCTATAATGTTCCACATTTTTCAAAGAAAAAAATGCCTCACCAGTTGTTCTTACTGGAAACTTCACTAAAGGTAGGGAAAAAATATCCAGAATTTGCTTAACATAATCCCAGTGTCACTCACTTAATTAACCTCATTTATTTCTCAGAACCATCCTATATGAAATAGGTGTCCTAAAAGTGAAAATCCATGGATCAAGAATTAAGCAAATTTATGGAAGATCAAACCCCAAAGACACAAAGATACATACAAATAGTTTCTGTCTTGACTATAGCTGTCGATAGCAACACTGAATATAAAGAAATCCGGGATCAGCAATGTGTTCTATTTAATCTTGACTCCCATAACTTAATTTTCACTATTAGCGCTAATTAAAATAGAAGTGAAAAACTAAATACAATTTTATATAAGCAAAGATTCTTTTAGACTACTTCTGGTGGGGAGTGGTGGGGGGAAAATCCAGACAACTGCAATTGAACAATAAAATAATTAAAAAATAAACTACTTTTGTCATTAATTATTAAAGTGTTTTAGTTAAACTTAAATAATATAGTAAACTTTTTGTTTATAGTTTGTCTAGCTAAATCTTATATTTCAACACAAGGTTCTCAAATGTTTTGTTTGGAGTTTTGCTGGAAAGTAAATGCCTATTTGTAGGTACTGATATGCAAAAAGTTCACATTTTAATGTATGTGATCAAGTATAATTTACATTTGTCTACCAAATAGCATCCTATAATGGAAATTCACTGTAAAACAGAGACTTAATTAACTCTGGCACAAATAAAGTTCTCAATAATTTTTATCAAATGAAGTAAACAATCAAAAAACAACTTATTGTTTTACTTACAATAAATGCCACACAGATCCTTAGATGCTACAGTTATTCCTTGTAGCAGCTTCACAGAGGATGTAAAACAAACTGCAATATATGGTTTAAGTAAATCATAGATCCCTTAGACACGGAAATTCTTTTGACCCTTTTAATACTCAGGCAGTTAAGGACAGCTTATCATGCAAGAAGTCAGTCTAAATCACGTCAGCAAACTTAGGATCAAAAAATAAGTAATTTCAGCTTTGTGGCTAATATAGTCTCTCAGTCGCAACCACTCAACTCTGCCACTGGACAGAAATAGTAAATGAGCATGACTGTGTGACAATAAAACTTTATTTATGGACACTAAAATTTGAATTCCATATAATTTTCATGTCACAAAATAGGATTTTTTTTTTTATTTAAACAATGCAAAGATCATTCTTGGCTCACAGGCCATACAAAAACAGGTGGAGGGCTGGATTTGGCCTATGGGCAATAATTTTCCAACCCTTGGTCTAAATATATATTGTTTTGACATTTACTTGCTGACAATTAGGTAACTTCTGTTTCATTACTGAGAACAGTAACACCAAATTTTGCTTAAGGCTTTGTCTAAACTGCTGGTGTACATACTTTGAAGATAAAAATTTAAAAATCACTTATGTTAAAATTAAATATACTGCTAGAAGAACTGGCTAAGTTTCATTTATTTCTTAATGTCACATCTGCACAGCAGGAAACACCTTGGTTTCACAATGGCATCTGGCTGCACTTCTGATTATAATACAGCATGTGCAAGTTCACTTGGACACTTATGTACACTTATTATAAATGTACACTTATAATACAGCAAGTGTACATTTATACACTTTACATAAATTAAGTATACTATACTAGGATGGGTGATAGCAAAAGCATAAATTTGATTCCATGACTAGACCACTTCTGTTTGGTTATTAAAAAATGTACACAGTCATTTAAAAATGGCCATTTGGGGAATAGGACACTATGTAAAATGTCATGTAAAATTGAACCATTTACATTTTTCAAAAATAATTTTCAAACTTAAATTGTTATTGAATTGTTATATGGCTATACATTATTATAGCAAGAAGATTTAGCAACTTGGTTGGCTAATTTTTTAAAAAAATTGTTCATGAAATAACATTATTTTTATTAAAATAAAACAGTAGGTAAATGAACCTTTCTTTCCACATTTAACATGTTAGGATGCTTCCAGGTCAACTCTCCCGATCCCCGCCACCCCAAAAATCAGTCAGAGACTTGCGTGAGTGTTTAATTCAAACCTATATTTGTAGTTTCTAAAATGCTGATCCACAGACCACTTTCTTGTTACACGAGTGTACCAATGAAAACAAAAGGCAAAGAGAATCACTGCCATCCCTACAAAAGGAATGGTTCCTTTTCTAACATTCTTTAAAAATATACATTGTACAGTCCTTGCACCTCGCCAAAGGTGGCAATGTAATAAATACACTGGTTTAGTCCTCCTCACTGCTCAGCAAGGTCCACCAACTACCTGTTATAAGCCCTCTCCTTTTTGGATTTCTCCAGGGCTTTGTCCATGGTTTTCTCATTCTCCCCTCGACATTTGGGACAGTACCACTTGCCCTTTGGTTTATGATTCAGTCCTACACAGGAGAAGTGGAACCACTCGATGGGGCACTCATCGTTGTCGCAGCCGATCATTTCTCCATAGGAGACCTGATTGCACAGACAGTACGTAGGCTCATTTGGGTCGATGGGAAGGTCTGCAGGGGATGCTTCCCTCTCTGCCTTGGCCTTGGAGCGTTTCTTCTTCTTGGAGGCCTTTGCTTTCTTCTCCTTAGGCGTTCCTGAGGTGATGTCATCGTGGTCATGATTATTAGCTGCATTTTCCCGATTCTCGTTGTTGCGCTGTCGCCGAGACCTCTTGTTATTGGGCTTTTCTGCCTGTGTGATTGTCTCATTCTTGGACTTATCCTGGCCAGCTTTGCCACTGTGGCCAGTGGTGTCATTGACTTCTTGGTGTGCCTCAAAGAGTTCCACGTGACTGTCTACCTGCCTGGTCCGATTCTCCACCAGCTCTACCATCTGACTCACAATCTGAATCTTCTCGTCACCCAGCTCCTGGCTCCGAATCAGGGCTCTCTGAATGCAGTGCAACAGTCTCCTCTTTTGGGTGCCGTCCGTCTCCCGTTTAAACCTCTCATAATACTCATCCAGATCCTTCAGGATTTCTGCAAAGGGAAAAATGAGCATTACACCCACACTATAAACACTACCATGCCTTTTATTTAATTCTTTGGTCTATGAAAAAGTAATTACAAAGGAGAGAAATGATCAATGCAAAGTTTCCTAGTATGAAAAAGCTTATACCTTGTATGCCCTCCCAGCAGACATTTTTTTTCCCTATAGAAAAAAATCCCTGGAACTAAATACACATACCAGCACAGTTCTCATTTAGCAAAGTGCTACCAAAAGCTCTTCAAGGAACTGTGTACATTCAGAGGTGTAGTACTCCTACGATGGACAATTAGAAGAAAAGATCAAATTTAGATGAAGTACTGGGTCCCAAATTTTTATTTTCAATAAAATTAACGATGTCCTCTACTTCCACTGTTTTTATTCAAATATTGTTCTAATACTTTAAAGGTCCTTATTCATTTTATTCTAATGTACTGATGTCTACAATATTCTATTAAATTATAGACTGTATATAAATATTACTTGTGACCGAGACTCAATTTATCAGTCATATCATTTTCATCCTAGCATTTTATTCCTCTTTATTACTGAAAATAATAAAGGTTTGTCACAATAAGCCACACAATCCAGCCCTGCTTTAAAATAAAGGTGGCAGATTTTGCTTTTGCATTTACTGCTTAAAAGTTACATATCTATAGACTGTAAAACATAAAAAATAAATTAAAAACCCTCAATACTAAATTGAAACCTTCTTAGATAGGTAGGAAGGCAGTGTATGTGAATATAAAATGTAATTTTGCTAATGTAATTAGGCAATTTCTCATAAAATAAAGCTGTTAAAAAATCTGATCGAGATAAGGGTTAATTTCTAGAGATATTTCCCCCAAATAGTACCATAAAATAGTAGCAGACTTTTCTCTTGCAAAGCTTTGCAGTCTCTCAAAATAAGGCAATTCTACTCTCGAACTAGGAAGTTAAGTGTGGGGATATGGGGAGAGAACACACAAAATGTGGCTATCACCCAGATCTTATCTCCAAATAGTTATAAGGCATAAATCTAAAACTAAAGTAAACATATGAACCTAGGCCAACACTGGAGCTTAGCTAAATGGTAAATATTATTTCCCAGGCTACATTCTTAAACTAAAGACAGCTCTGAAGATACTTCCTAGAACAATGTGGAATTTCCCACCTCAAAGGAGTGCCACGGTCCTATAGCACCCTAATTAATCCTGAAAATAAATAGCTGTGCTCAACCCAAGTTCTATTTAATAGATGTTAAAGTAAGTTTCTGCCATTCATTTTTTTAAACCCAAATAATGATGTTTAGAAATGCTGAGTAATGTTTATTTTAAAAATTTATTTGAGAGAGAGAGAGACATCAATGTGTTATTCCACCTATTTATCCATTCATTAGTTGCTTCTTTTACGTGCCCTGACCAGAGATGGAACCCGCAACCTTGGCATATTGGGATGAAGCTAATCAAATTAACTACCCAGTCAGGGCTCTGGGTAGTTTTGTTTTTTTTTTTAATTAACTGCACATTACAAAACTATCATTTGGTCTAATAAGTAACCAAATTTCTAGCAACAGTTTTAGTATTTCAGAGAAAAGAGAACAATTCTACCATATGGCTAATTTAAAATTTAATAAGTATGGCTTCTTTTATATCACAAGCAAGCTTATACCCATGTGGCATCTCACTTGTGGGAAAAAGACAAACATCGAAAAATTAGCGAGAAGTAATTCTGTTACCTTCATAATGGCATATATTTCTTGGATGCCCGGAGCAAAGCACTCTATTTAAACAAAGCCACTTTAAGTACAAATGTCTGTTGAGAATGAACACCAGCACTAGCTAGAGAGACATCTTGCCAGGACACTCACTTCCTTCAGCCCCATCAGCTCAAACTGCTGCAGACCATTTCTTCTAGAAATGCTCCACAGTAACATTACTGAAGGAAAGCAATGGTACCATGGGGGAAAATTTAAGGATTAAAAGAGATCACAGCAAATTTGATCTTTCTGCTGATCCATAATGTACTTTAATTTTACATAGGTTTGCACTTAAGTTCTTTATGAAGGTGACTTCCATGGTGGGCAGGTGAGTGGGTATTTAAAAAATAACACAAGAAAAAGAATTTAAAAATAAGCTCAAATACCATTTAAAGTTGGTTGAATTAATTATAATCCATCATCATGAATTAACCTCCAACTGATGCATACTATGCAATAAAAATTGTTAACGGTTTGACTTGCAACATAAAGTAAAAACTTAATTTTTAAGAACTACGCTGCATATCTTAACATTTATAGCAAATCCCAACCGAGTAAATTATGACTGTTCTCATGACGAATGATTAGACTTTACAGCGCACTAAACAGCACTGGCTCGTTTGTGCTCCACAGGAGTCGAATAAGCACCATACGTATGCATTAACTGAACAGCGAAAGACCCATACAAGAAGGAAGTAACTTTAAGAGGTATACAGGCGTGAATGTTAGGAAACTTTAAAGGTATTCCTTCTTTTTGTCATCTAGGAAAATGCTAATTAACACTGCAACGGATTCTACAAAGGCTGTGAATCCCTTAAATACCCCTGATCTTCAATGATTACACTACCCGAGCCATCATGGGCACGGACCACCGAGAAGAGCCCCCAAACACGGGTCACTCACGCTTCCCTCGCTCCTCGCAGCCGCTGGCCTGTCCCGCGGTTCCCTGGGGCCAGGGCGGGAAGCCTGAGGTAAGTCTTCGGTACAGCCAACAGAAGGACTAAGAAACCTCGCCTTCGACTCCCGGACGCCGCCATAGCTCCACGGCCGGAAGTGGCCAGGCTCCGGTCCCTGAGGATAGGGGGCGGGGTCGGGAATCCGGCCAATGGGGAGGAGGCCAGTGGGGGACGCGCCCCGCCCAGGCAACTGCAGCCTATGAGGGTCTCCAGGCCGGAGGGCGGAGGCCAGAAGGGGAGCCAATCTCAGAGTAGGGCAGGGGAACACGGCCCACCCCGCAGCGTCAACAGCCAATCCAAGGCCAGAAGCCGGGCGACCCTAAGACATTCAAATCAAGTCGACCTCCTCCCTCCTCCCCGCCCCTCTACGAAAGAGAAAAAAAGAAGGCCGCGGAAACAGAGACCCGTGCCAGTCACAGTGCAAGGCCCGCCCTCATCCGGCCCAGCAACCAATAGCTCAGCAGCGGACTGATAAGGACATTCCATGGGGACGCCACAGCCAATCCTGAGAAGGCTAGAGCGGGAGGTTCGCAATATGCTAATAAGCCTCTTATAAATAACGCTGCGAAACCGAGTGTCTGATAGAGCGCGCAGGGGCGCCTCGTTGAAAGGGGGTTTCTGTGTGTTTCACCGAAAGCTATGGTTTTCCACCTCCCCCCACTCTCCTGTTTCCCTGCTGCGCAGCCCTGTAAACATTAGTAAACTCGGAGTGACGACCTACGTTCCAAACACAGCCCCCAAAGCCGTGCCTGACCTGGCAGGAAAGTTTCCCCAACAGCCAACAATTCCCAGCGGACAGGAAGCCTCGCTTCTCTCCCGGACCCTGGGCGGCTGGGGCTGCAGACAACGACCCACTGGTCCCCTCCCTGCCATGTTCTTCTCTAGCCCCTGGTCTTTGCACGCGCCCCCCGAGCGCAGCACAGATGGGCGACTTCCTCGCCACATCCTCCCCTCTTTTCCCCTCCCCACCGTACGCACGGAATAAAGCCCAGGCCCTCCGCAAACTACACCAAGCCGTGTAGCCCCCGACTCACTGTCCAGCACCGCGGGAGAGCTGGGGGGCTGGGCGGGGGCGACCGGGGCTACACCGCGCATAGTACGGACCCTGGACTTTATATAACACTCAGATTCGGGACTGGGTGTATGTGGCTCTGGGGATGGCCAGCAGGGCCAGGGGACCCCTCGCCTGCAGCGCCCTCCCAGCAGACCTGCGCGTAGCCCCGTCCCTGCGCCCCTCAGCCCTAACGAAAGCGGCATATTCCTCCTTCCGCGCTGTAGCCTGCGCCCCTGAGCCCCCTCCCCCGCAACACCCCGCCTCGTCACTTCACTACAAAGAGCGCTTTGCTCGCGCAGCCTGGCATTGAGACCTCTCTTTTCTCCTTCCTCCTCCGTGTCCCGGCTTCGCACACAAGGACCTTGACGAATCAAAGACGCTCCAGACCTTTTGTTTCTGCCGGGCCAGGGACACCGCCGCGGGCCCACGGCTCCCCAGGAAGGGTCCAGGACGGCCCGCGGCCCCGCGGAGAGCCGCGACCCGCGGGGATGGAGCGGCCGCCCCCGCCCATGCATCCCGCCGTACCTTGGTATTTCGCGTCGATCTCCCGCATCAGCGAGACGTTTCTCTGCAGGTCGAAAGGCAGAGACTCGATGGAGTCCAGGTAGTCTTCCACATAGTTCACCAGGTGGATCTGCTCCCCGTTGGCAGGGCTCAACATGGTTCACCGAGGTCCCCGGCGACTCGGCGCGGCTTTCCGCTTCCTCCAGCCCCCGCCCCCTCGGAGCCCAGCCCTGCAAAATGCAAACCTCCCGCCCGCCGGCGCCCCCCCCTCCTGCCGGCCCCGCACCGCTACATCTGCGAGCCGCGCCGCCTGGGCCCGGGGACCCGGCGCGGGCGTGCCGGGCCAGCGCTCGGCGGCCTCCGGCGCTGGGCGGGCGCGGGCGGGCGTGCGGGCGCGCACCCCGGCGGAGGGGCCGGGGCTGGGCCGAGCGAGCGCGGGAAGGGGCGCGCGCTGCCCGCCGCGCCGCACTTGTCCAACGTGGAAAACCCAAATACCAGTTTCAAACACTTGGGAAACATTCGGCCCCCAGTACAGCGCATGCGCCCCGCCACCCCCCACGGCCCCCTCCCCGCGGGCCCCGCCCCCGCCGCATTCACGCCCCTCACCGGCCTGGCCGCGCGGGGGTGTGGCTTTGTCTGTCACTTTTGCGGGGGTGGGGGTCGCGGGGACACAGGGCGACAGGCGAGGCACAAACTTTACTGTGAGTTTCGTACTCGGAGGCAGAACATGTCCGGCGCCGCTGCATGCCCGCCGGGGACGCGGGGTGACAACCAGACCCGCCCAAGACTGGGACAGAGCCGACCCTGCTTCCGTCCGCTGCCTCAAGATCGTCGCAAGCCCAGAAAACCTAACCCCTCTTCCCATTCAGCCCCTCAAATCTCCAGTGCCTACCGCGCAGCGGGGATATAAGTACATCTCAGAACAGACTGGCAACCTCAGGAGCCAGTCCACTGCGGTCATTACCTCATTGGCCCAATCAACATGAAGAGAAGGAGGGACGAGGTTGAATAACTCCTCTAGGGCTCTTAACTACTATACAGTACTAGAAACCCGCGTCCTGCGGAGGGGTGGAGACAGAGGCTGGGCCGAGCAGGGCGGAAGTGGTGGCTCATGCGCATTTGTACGGCCTGGGCGGCCGCTGGCCCGCGCGGGACACCTACCATTCGGTGGCGGGACCACCACTCCCAGCAATCTCGGCGCCTCGCGCGCTTGCGCGGTTCTCACCACCCTCCCTTTGTGTACCCAGCCGGAGCCCGGAGCCCGGAGCCGGGCGGCTAGCAGACAAAAGGGGCCGGCGAGGGGAGCTGCTTCCGGGCCAGGCCCACGCAGAGGGCGGGCAGCCCCAATCCCTGTCCTCCTGTGCTCTGGAACCTGCTCTCAAACTTTGCCCCCTCATTTGGAAGACCACCTAAACCTGGGCAGACCAGGTGTCTGGTCGTTGTGATGCTGGGGTCTCTCTCTGTGTTGTCTCGGCCCTTCCCCTCTCCAATGACTCTTCCCACCACGAACTCCGGATTTGGAGCTTTCTTAAAAGTACTCGCACGGAGGATCCCGTTGCCAGGACGACGGGTCGGCACAAAGGCCCGCCTTCTCCACCAGACGTCCCGCCTTGTGGGCGTGGCCACTCCACCTTTGTCCGCTGGGCTCTGGCCCTACGCTGCCGAGTGTCCTTCCTGACCGAGCTAGCTCTGCGGGGTTACCTCTGTTTCCCTCCCGCTCTCCTCTGCAGTCTGCGCGTTCTGTCTTCCCCAAGGTGGGCGGGTTGTCTTTTCGTTGTCTGTCGCCCTGTAAATTAGCTTGACCACCCTCCCCCCAACCTTGGGGATGTCTCTGTTAACTCCGTGCCAGGGCAGTGCTCCGTTTCCTTCCCCTTTTATTAATTCAGAGCGTTTCACTCTTAACTCCGGTGCTCCATTGCCATATAGGGCACACCATGTAGACAAAATGATTACATTGCAGTTCTAACGCGCACAGTTCTGGTATTGAGATTCGGGGTGTTCGCGACCAAACAATGACAAAATCTTCTGGGAATTTTTTAAAATTGCTGTATGTAACCCAGTAATATTTCGGGCCAACCCAATTTTTATAAAAAAATTATTATCTGCAGTGGTGCTCTTCTCAGCGATCCGCAGGGCATCTTGATATGGATATCACTACAATAAATGAGACTAAATTAAGCTATTTTGTCTTTTGAAATGGATTGTTCACATTGGAACGTTACGACGGTGACAAACGACAATGTTTGATGTAAATGAGTTTGTTCTTTGCTCTTACTTACACTCCCTCATCCAACCCCCTCATCAGGAGGACATTCACTTTGATATTTGGGAAATAGATTCACGTCTTCCAGACTTGGCCCAGTTAAAAAGCACATCATAAGAAAAGTTTCATTTCATACAACAAAATTTATTGGCCACTGGTCTGCACAAAGGACTAATACTATGACATTATGTGGAAAGAGATGTTACATGGTATAAAGAGTACAAAGTAGAATAAGAAATACCATACATAGCATGTAAGCAGTTTTAAAGTACAATAGCAAGAAAAAAGTAGGTTCTTTTTTCAATGCTTGGTTCGTTGGCTCTTGAATGAGTAGTGTTTCTCTGAATTTAAAGGTTAGAAATCATATACCTCATCCAACAATCAACTGGAGTTTGGATGAGGTTATCTTTTCTAAAAATCACCATGCTATCTGAATAATGATTCCTCTCATGTTTCATGGACTTTTCATATACTTAAAATACAAAGACATCTTATTTAATCAACAAGAAGTATTTAACAAGTGCCTACCAAGTTCTAGCTACTGTTTTATGCCCTGGGGTCACAGTAGAGAATAGAGAACAGGAGCTTACATTCAATAAGACATTTAATTTACCCCTCGGGTAAGAAGTAGAAAATATTTTATTATTAGCTTTACAAAGTTACTAAAATATATACTAATGACTTCACAGTTTTCTGAACAAGTTTAGAAGACCAATAGCTAAAACAATGAACTGTGATTATGCATTTGAAATATACCACTAAGGGAAAATGTTTAATTTTGAAGATATACTGAGGAATCTTGTTTGTTTCAGTTTTGCTCTTTGGAGTGTGTTACAAAAAGATAGATATTAAATCCTTTTTCCTAAAGTTATATTTCCAGTTTAACTGAAGACATTCGAACTTAAGGGATTAAAAGATAAGAGATAAATATACAATTATTTGTTTTGAGGTTCTTAAATAAATCAACACTTTCATTTCAGACTTGAAATGCCCTAAACAATGCCCTTATCTCTTCTAGTCTGAATTTACAAGATTTTGCCTTGAAAGAAAACAATACTGAGAATCACATTTTTTGTTGTTGTTGTTGTCATTAAGGACTAAGAAATGGCATTCACGATATTTTGGAGTTATTCATTTTAATACACTTTGTATTCTGACCTAGATTAGGGAGATAAGATTCTCTTTTTCTGGTATATAATCTTCTTGGTCACCTTTACTTGACCTTAATATTCAACCTGCAAAAGGAATCACATTTTTAACAATCATTAAATGAGTTATGTTTATCATTTCTTTGATGATTCCCAAAAGACTTAACAAAAGGTAGAACTGCTGCAAGACAAGGGACAAACACATTATATGGCAAGTTTTCTGAAGACAGAAGATACCATTGTTAATTTAAACATCATGATTTCTTTGGCCATTTCAAACATTGCACCTATCCAAATTCATGTGCAGGATTTGGTCTTTAATGTTATTAAATGTCTTCAAAATTTCTAGGTTTTTCCTTGAATTCTGTATGTTCTCAGATTGCAATCAGGCCTTTTGTCCATTTTCTTATTTCATTGGCACACCTAATAATTGGATTAGAGCCTCCTCTAACAGATGTGTTTTCACCCAAATTTCCTCCCACCTGCACAACAGGTGGATTTCATCAGATATTAATTCAGCAACTCGTCTGAATTTAGTGCTGAGTACAGTGTGAGATACAAAGGAATTTACAATCTAAAGTACTCAGGGAGCAAAATATGCACATAGAAACAAAAGACAAATACAAAATAACATCAAGATAAGTATGAAGGCAGTGAAGAACTTTTGAGTAGTCAGGGAGCACTGCTAGGCATTGGTGTTGACGTCTCATAATTTTCAACAACAGGGTCTAATATTTTAGTTCATGCATATTACATAGTTTATTAGACTACAGTCCGGCTTGAAACAGAATTGCAGAGCTGAACTCCACGGATCTCAAAAAAATTTTAAGTGTTCAAGGAACGTACTAATTTGTCTCTACTTAATCATTTGCCTTTCAAAAAACTAAGAAAACAAACCCCAAAAAGAACAGAGGAATCTCTGTGCTCTTTTGAGGATGGCAAAAGCAAAGATTTGTTTTGAAACATTGTTTTGCAAGAAAATAGGGACACATTTGTCGAGATATCTTGAAACTAACTTCACATAAACCCGCTTTTAGAAAATCCCACTGAACCCTGACTGGTGTGGCTCAGCGGATTGAGCGCCGGCCTGCAAACCGAAAGGTCAATTCGGTTCGACTCCCGTTAGGGCACGTGTCTAGGTTGCGGGCCAGGTCTCCCGCTGGGGTTGTGCGAGAGGCAAACGACAGAAGCTTCACTCCCTATGTCCCTCCTTCCCCTCTAAAAATAAACAACTAAAAGCCCCACTAAAACCGCAATTCAGAATGTTTTTCACTTTAAAATGAATCCCAAGCAGACATTCCCTACCACGTGTATTTAATGAATGAGTGCTTCCCTAGCTTTGGTCTTTCCTCCGCAGAGTGTGTGCTGGGATGCAAACATACTTTGGGTGTGTGCCTTTACTGAGGTGCAAATGTGCTTCGGGAGCGCGCGAGGAGTCATCCGCAGGTCTCTGCACTGTGAACACCGGCTCGCAGAGACCTCCCCTGTCCCGGCGGGGATTCCTACGTAAGCACTCGGCCTACCTGAGTTGATGTGCGGTGGCCCTCCCTCGAGCGGGAGGGAGTACTTCTTCCTGCCGCATAGGGGTCCGACTCTGTTCCCTGCCAGCACCCCTTCCCGACTCGGACTCCGACCTTCCCCTCCCCCACCCCCCCTAAGGGCACCCCCTGCTTTTCGAAGGGCACCCCCTGCTTTCCGAAGGACACCCACAGGCCTGACAGAGGCGGAGCTGCCGCTTCCCTACGGCTGTTC